AGAAGTTAAAGATTAATGTTCACATTACCTAACATCTCAAATATCAGATTGTTAAATGCAAGAGTTGTGTGGGTTTGGAAAGTGAGTCCTCTCTCGTTCTAACAGACAAATATATGTATCTCTTCCTGGTCTTAAAATAAGCCTGCTTCAAAGCAGACCTTGAAGGTTATTTTCCCTCTGACCTCTTTGCTTCAGTGAAATATGATGCTGAATATATAATACCCATGGAATGATCCACAGAGTTGCCTCCTATTTGAAGTGGGCTGTTGCTACTCTTTTTCCCTCTTGCTACCTGCAACGCTACCTATATTTCCTAAAGCCAAGTCACACTATAAAACTGAAGAATAACAGAATAACAGTTGGTAGGGACCTTGGAGGTCTTCTAGTCCAACCCCCCACTCAAGCAGGAAACCCTATACAGCAAGACATGTCAAACTTGCGACGTCACATGACATCGCACAACTTATTGGAGCTTTTTCACCATTGCCAGTAATGGGGTGGGCGTGGTTTCCCGATGACATGTCCGGCCTGTGGGCCAGCAGTTTGACACCCCTGCTATACAGGTATCCTTGACATACAACAATTCATTCAGTGACTATTCAAAGTTACAACAGCACTGAAAAATGTGACTTATGGCCATTGTAGCATCCCCATCGTCATGTGATCAAAATTTTGACGCTTGGCACTGGATTCATTTTTATGACAATTGCAGTGTCCTGGGGTCATGTGATCACATTTGTAACCTTCTGACAAGCAAAGTCAATGGGGAAGCCAGGCTCACTTAACGACTGTGTTATTAACATAACAACTGCAGTGATTCACTTAACAACTGTGGCAAGAAAGGTCATCAAATGCAAATTTCACTTAACAGATTTCTTACTTAGCAACATAAATTTTGGGGCTCAATTGTGGTTGTAAGTTGAGAACTACCTGTGCCATTTCAGACAAATGGTTGTCCGATCTCTTCTTAAAAACCTCCAATGTTGGACACCCACAACTTCTAGCAGCAAATTACTCCACTGTTTAATTGTTCTGTCAGAAAATTTCTCCTCAGTTCTAGGTTGCTTCTCTCCTTGTTTAATTTCCATCCATTGCTTCTTGTCCTGCCTTCAGGTGCTTTGGAGAATAGGTTGACCCTCTCTTCTTTGTGGCAGCCCACAAATGAGATTGAATCACAATCAGACTGAAGAAGGCTACTCTGCATGATCCTCGGACAGGATTCTTTAAGAATTGTTCACATATGAATCTGCCCCAATACATTAATGGAGGTTGTGTGCCATCATTCCTGGCTAGCCAATCTGCTCTCACTTGGCTTGAAAGACCAAGTCAATCACAGCTCCAAACAAAATCTCACTTTTGAGTTTATTTGAGCAAGTAATTTTAAAATCTGGACATGAAGAGTTTTTTTGAGGAAAGATGTTCTTTAGATGCTAATTGTATATTGTTTCACAATGTAATAAGCCAATCCTGTTGGTCTTAAAGGCCCTTCTGTGTATTCCATCCTTTGAGATCCCGAGCTTCTGCTCTGAATTCTCCTGCCTTAAAGGCATCATTGATGAGCAATAAAATCTGTTTTATTGTAAAAATGATTTCTTTTTCTTTTGTATTTTAAAAATTGTTTCTCCCTTGGATTTTAGATTTGTATAGGAAAATAATTACTGGTTTCTGAACATTTCATTACCAGGCTAGATAACATCTTCAGAGGAGTTTAGGGGATGTCAGTGTTAGTGTTCTTCTGTTTATAAGGGCTTTGGGTGGTCAGTAGGTCTTGTGATAGGTCAGGTGTGGGTGTGTCAAGTGAGGGTCTTGTGATGAGTCATCAGTGGGAGTCTTGTGATGGGGAGGTTGCACCAGGTGAGGATCATTGGGAGGTGAAGTGCTGGTTGGGTTGAGGTTTGCTGTTGCCTCTGGTTAGCTGTGCAGTTGATTTGGACTCTGAGGGGATCGTAGGCTAGTTGTAGATCAATGTGTCAGTTGATGGAAATACCTGTGGAGTCCCAGGCTTCGATGAACTCATGAGTGTGATGGGTGGTAGTGTGGCCGATGATTTCTGTGTTGCTCCAATCGAACTGGTGCTATTTGGTGTCAGTGTGGATAGAGATTAAGGATTTGGGATCATAGCGTTTGACTGCCAGCTGGTGCTCATGGATCCGGGTTTTTAATTGACGTGATGTTTGTCCCACGTAGAATTGGTTTCCATTGTTGCAGTTGATTTTGTAGATTACATGGTTTCTTTCATCCTTCTGTGTCTTGTCCTTGATTCTGGATAATTCCTGGTGGAGTGTGGCTGTGGGTTTGTGGGCTATTGCTATTCTTAGGGGTTGGAGAATTCTAGCTATCATTTCTGACACCCTTTTTGTGTATGGTAGGGTTAGTTTTTGCATAATGGTTGGCTGTGTGATGTGTTGTGGTTTGTGTGCTGTGTGTTGGAATACAATGTTTTTTGGATAGCCGTTATGGAGAAAGATGTCAAGCAGCTGTTTCTCTTCCACTTTTCTTAGTGTTATGGTGCTGCAGTGTGCGTCCTGACCCTTCTGAAGAGGGTCTGGACGCAGCTTCTTTTGTGTGCGGTGGGGTGGTTGCTTGCGAAGCTGAGGATCTAGTCTGTTTGCGTGGGTTTGCGGTAGACGTGGTTTCCAATCCTCAGTTGTCTAGTCTCCTTATGGCGATGTCGAGGAATGAAAGTCTGTTGTCTGTTTCCTCTTTGCATGTGAATTTGACCCCAGGGAATATGTTATTGAGTAGGTGGTGTGTTTCTTCAATTTGGTATCATTTCATGATGATGATGGTGTCATCAACTTGACGGGTCCAGAATGTTGGTTGGATGGCGGGTAGAGCTATAGATTCGAGTTGTTGCATGACAGCTTCTGCTATTAGGCCTGATAGGTGTGATGCCATCGGGGTACCTTGCACTTGCTTGTAGATTTTCCCATTGAACTTGAAGTATGTGTTGAGGCATAGATCCAGAAGTTTCATGATGGTTTCTGTGGGCATGGTTTCTTGGTGGCATCATTTTTGTGGGTATGGTGTTTAGTGAGTAGACGGTGTATGGTTTGCTAAGCCAGGTTAATGTCAATTGAGGTGAAGAGAGTAGTGACATCGAGGAAGCCCTTATAAACAGAACAACTGACACTGACATCCCCTAAACTCCGCTGAAGATGTTACCTAGCCTGGTAACGAAACGTTCGGAAACCAACCCACAAGCTCAGAGAACAAACCTTCACCCTCATCCTAATACCTGAGCTACAGATATTCGCCACTATTGCAAAATTTGATTAGATGAAAGTCATTAAGAATGTCAATGCTATACTCGCCTGGTGTTGTGATTCCTCACCAGCCAGTGGACCCGGCAGCTGAGTCTGAGGAATCAGATGAGGAGGAGGGGCCTGGAGTGACATTAGACTCAGAGGAAGGCTCTGAGGAGCTCCAAGACTTACAGTCGGACGAGGAGCCTGGCCCCTCTACTCACGCTCAGGCTGAGACACAGTTGTGCTGGGAGCCTGAGTTGGACAGTGATAAACAACAGTTGGGACAAATCCAGGATGCACGAAAGCATAGGCAAGAAAAGCGAGTAGGACAGAGGAATGAATGGGGCGGCTCCAAAGGCAAAAGAGAAGGCATTAGGAAGCCACACCTTGGCTGAATTATAAAAGGGAAGGTGTGGGAGGTGCTGGTTGCCAAAGGCAACCATTCATGTTGAGGACTGAGTTTCTGTGAACTGTGTTTGTTTGCCTTGGACATTGACTCAGGTCTGTGAGAATAAAAGGGGTTGGTTTTTTCTTGCGGTATCTGCCTGTTTCTTGGAAGAGGGGTTTCTCCTTGTGAGCATAACAAGGACTCACGTAGGCTGGGACAGAACAGCTAGATTACAATTTTCTTGCATATGGAGTTACAAATGTAGGCAAAGCGACTTAATTTAAATGAAAGACCTGCTACCTAGAACAGCACATAGGCAATAAGGATTTATTTTTTAAACATGCCTGGCACCATATTTAAGTGAAGCTCCCATTTCCGGATATTCAAAAATTTAAAAAGTTATTTCCGGTTACTTGGCTCAAAGTAAACCAATAGGCATAAAAGTGATCAGCAACAAATTTATACTGGGTTATTATTATTATTTTTAAAGGGATCTGACATGGACATTCATGAAAGATACTATGGAATTTCTAGTTGTCATTTTTCTATCAGGATGACCTCATAAGTCACTGCTGGAAAACCTTATTATTTTAGTAGAAAAACATTTCACTGCATCAGTTATTTCATTGTGCTGGGATTTACTTGTCTCTTCTTCATATGAAAAACTTATTTGTCATTTGGGCACACGAAACAGTGCTCCTGCACATGTCAAGCTGTCATCCTTATGTAAATTGAAAGCACAATGCATAATTACAGGGCTTTTTTTCTCAGAGAAAAGGTGGTGGAACGCAAACCTGGCCACGCCCTCATCAAACCCTAGGACCGCCCCTTTAGAGAACAGGAATGCAAGTAAAATTTGGGAGGGGCTATTTCCGGTGCGGCCGGCCCGGAAAAAGGTGCCGGAACGCCGTTCCGCCGCGTTCCGGCTGAAAAAAAGCCCTGCATAATTATATTGCATAATGTATAAGTATATCCATTCCATGACATGGAAATGTGAAGCAAGAATAAGGCACAAGATAAGTTTAAGAATTATAATAAGTAAATCAAGTATTTCATTAAAACTGAGTATTTGAGCTGTCCCACTATGCCAACTTTCTTCAAGATGGTAGCTTCCATATATGCTGGAACCCTAGATGTCTGCAACTGGAACAAGGAGGAGTGTGTGTGTGTGTGTGTGTGTGTGTGTGTGTGTGTGTGTTGGGGGGCAACTTAAAAAATATGTGCCATGATGCAAATTCCATGTATCCGACATCAGGACATAAGTACGTAAGGGCACTATTTGTATTATAACATTGCCACTTGCTTGCCATCATTTTTTTTTAATTCACTATGGTTGCTACAGATGTCTCTTATTGGATTTACAGTCATTCCAGTTGGGAATTTGAAGAATTATATTCCAATATGTCTGTGGCACTTGTAAGAGAAAGGTGAGTAACTCTGTTTGAACAGTACATATTATAGACTATTAAAAGATGAAGGATATGAATAAAATAGTTTATGTGAAAATGATTGAAATAATTCCTGCTGTAGTCCAATTCTAGTGAAATTCACTATAGTTTGTGTCTTAGTCTATCATGGACCTTAACATTTGTAGTTCATTAAATAATCCATGGCTTATAGTGGTGTGTGAACACCATAATACATTTCCATAAACAAATACTAATATGTGGTTTTGACCACTATGAATTAAACTACATGTAAAAATTCAGTTGCGATGACAGAAAATATTAAGTCCTAATGCCATTTATTTGTGGCTTGTGAACTATGATTTATGGCTTATCAAATTGTATGGAACCTATTGATTAAAATATAATTAATAGTGTTGGCTTTGGGTGATGTGGGAATTATCTCTTTCAAATTAACATTATAATTGTGACTGTAGTCTTCATTTTTATAGGTTCTCTTTGCAGGCCTTTGGATCAGTAATTTAATAGGTGAAGCTTTTCTGGATACAGAGAAACAGTGGGAAAAATAAGTTCATTCTGTGCCACATTTTTGTAAAAGGCGCGAATAGTAGTTCCAATTTCACATAAAATGGCATCTTCCCCTTTAAACAATGTTCTATAATATGCAATTAATTATGTTTTATTAAAGTTGTAGTCACAGGCAACAAGCTATTCTGTGTGCATGATACTAACCTAAAGAAGACATAACCAAACCACAATTGTTTTCCTTATGGTCTAATAGTTTTATTGGAGACAGAAGCCTCCAATTTGCACTGGAGAATACTCAGAGTGGAAAGAATTAACTCCTTCCTCCCCACCCCACCAACCTAAATCAAATTCATTAGCATTCATGGGAATTTAATGCATACAGATATGTATGCATTAAGAGTGTGGCACAGTGAGAGTGACATATGTAAGAGTGAAATGTGGCACAATGTGACATATCATGTCCTTATTTTCTGGAAGCTGTTTGTTTGCTTTTTAGAATCAGCTCCAAGTTTTTTCTATAGACAGTTACAAATTTTTTCATTCAAACAGAATTCTAGACTTATTGCTATTTCCTAACGAGACAACAGAACAGAACAGAATATTCTTTATTGGCCAAGTGTGACTGGATACACAAGGAATTTGTCTCCAGTGCATAAACTCTCAGTACACATACAAACAACAAAGTGATAGTCATAAGATACCAATAGGAGTAGGTAATAGGAAAAATGAGAAGGATAATAGTGATACAGTCCTACTACATGGTTAGATATTCTTAGGCATAGACAGTGCTGTCTGTGCCTAAGATCCTATCTTATCCTATCTTATCCTTTTTTCTTAAAAATAGATCATAAAATATGCATGCCCAGAAGTGATAGCCTTATGGAATTTCTTGGTCTTGGATAGCTTTGGAAGGGAAGGACGCTCTGTTCTGAAAGGCCGGCAGTCCAGGCTGCATATAAGGTTGCCAACTGATTAGGAAAAAAAACTACCTGGTGTGCTCCTCTACCTTTGCATGTTCAAAAAGGAGCAGATCAAGCCTCTCTTGGAAGGGAGCCAATTTTATCACCAGCTCACATGTTCAAACCACAGTTCCACTGCAGTAGAATCCATTTCTAAAGTGTGGGAAATCACACCCCCAGAGAAGGAAATATTAAGGGCAGGAAAAAATATATTTCCTCAGGATCTTGAAGAGGCAGGAAAGCATGCCCAGTTTTCTTAATAGCCCCAAGTCTGCCTCCCCCAAGCAGAAACCAGCTCTATAGAAATGCAGATGCAGACCATTCAGGAAAGTTGAAGCTAGAAGATTAAGAAGACAAAGACCTAAAATCTGCATACCTCACCCAAACTCTAAGAGTCATTAGCCCAGCCCCAGGGAAACATAATAGGATTAAACCACAGTTACCAAGGGCCAGAAAAGCACACTCAGACTCAGTTCAAAGTTCATGCCACAGGAATAGGAAACAACTCAAAACAAAAGGCTTCAGAGCAGCGGTTCTCAACCTATGGGTCGCGACACCATTTGGGGTCGATCGACCATTTCACGGGGGTCGCCAAGCAAGGCTGTCCGCCATTTTTTTCTCCCTTTTCCGGCAGGTGCCTTACCTCCCTTGAGCTGGGCCAGCTGGTGGTCGGCCTGCTCTGTCTCTGCCGCTTGCCAGCTATGTCTCGGCCGGCGCAGGGGGCGGAACCACGCATGCGCGGCACTCCCGGGCAGGGAAAGTCCTCGACTTACGACCGGTTGGGTAGTCCTCGACTTACGATCGATTTAGTCCTCGACTTACGACCGGTTTAGTCCTCGACTTACGACCGGTTGGGGGTCGCGGCATTAAAAAGGTTGAGAACCACTGCTTCAGAGGGTATAAAAACCCCACTCCCTACATGTGTTCCCTCTCTTTTCTGCCAGAGCCATCTTCCTGTCTGGCTCTCCTCTCCAATAAACTACAACCTTCTTCCCAAAGCAGTTGCCATGTTTATTCCCAGCTTGGATGAACCAGGATGAAGACTTTTCTTCCAATAAAAGCTTACAACAAATCTGGCTGTGGTAGATGGGGTTTCCCCCCCTGTATGTGTTGCTCTCAACATATCCAAAGGGCACTATAGATAAACCAAATAATTTTCTTATTTCAATAAGTGGGTTGCTGATGCTGCTGTTTTCTTAATGCTTGCAATCTAAACTTGCCAAATTCTGCAAGAAGGAGAAACCTTCCTGGAAGCTTTTCCTATCCTAGTAGAGAAATGTAAAGGCTTCACAAGATTCTTTCTTCTAGCGTTAAAGGCTAGTTTTTATTGAATGCGTTTCAGGAAATAATACTGCTAGTGATAAGAACAGCTGCAGCTTCAACAGAGCTTCCTGTAATTCTAGAGAACGGGGGGAATCTTTTTCATCCTTTCAAACATCCTTTGGTTTCCCTCCACTTCTGCATCTCATTAACATTTCCACTTAAAAGTCCTCAGAGGCTACTGCAAAATCCACAAACAAATCAAGGTTTGTTCTCCCCCCCCCTTTTTTTTTCTTCTTCTCCTAAGCCCTTCTCTTTTTTTCATTCCATTCCCAAGGCAAGTGCTTTCTCTTCCATTTGCCAAAAGAATTAGGGAAGGCATTTTGAAATCTCAACCGGGGAAGAGAGCCTACAATATCTGCAACCTGTTTTCGTTGTACTTGCTATTGTTCGGTCCAAATTATTCAGTGTTTGAAAGGTTAGCGCTACCCAGCAACTCGGGGCAAGGAAACCTTCTGATTGGCTGTAGGAAAGAGAACTCATATTGGTGGCTGGGTGCACGCAGCTCAGCCTTCTAATCTGTATGAGAAGGAGAATGCCACGCTCCTTCACTTCCTTTTCAACATTCGTAAATCACCCAACAGGCATGGCTAGCTTCAACTGAACTCTGCTACAAAGGACTTGAGCAAAGATGTGGATGTGTCGTGCAGATAATTTCTTACCCAAGCTGTGCTCTGAATGCGTGATAAGTCCCCTGCCTGTGCCACTTCCTTCCGAATCAATTGTGCGGCGGTGTTTAAGCTCAAGAATCTGTTGAGAAGGGATTGCTGTGGACTCATGTTTTAAGTTATGGGCAGCAGGCTTTGAGACCCATAAGGCAGTTGCCAAGTTCCAGTGAGCCAGGGCAGGAATTTCATTTGGACCTAGGATTATTCCATGCTAGAAAAATTAGCCTGTTCTTGGTTCAGCCAAAATGTATTGTGTCAGGTGAAATTACTTGCAGATACCCATAGCACAGGCAAAATTGCACAGAAAAGCCAGTTATTAGTAAATCTGTCATAGAAGCCAGCCTCTCTCTTAATTATAGATCATATGTCAACAATGCTTTTGAATAGAAATAGAAAAAATAGAACAAAACAGAACAGAACAACAGAATAGAATAGAATAGAATAGAATAGAATAGAATAGAATAGAATAGAATAGAATAGAATAGAATAGAATAGAATTCTTTATTGGCCAGGTGTGATTGGACATACAAGGACTTTGTCTCCAGTGCATAAGCTCTCAGTTAATTCCAATAGACTGAATTGGAATATTTTCATTGGATTCTGCCTAAATACAATGTTATATATAATACAAGAAATGCTCTCTTCATACAAAACCTAAAGTATATTTCCATAGATTCTTTTGCATGTGTCAAATGGAATGCCTAAATAGGTTTGAATGAGTAATCTATTAACAGCTGACAAAAAGGACATGTCTCTTAAAAAGCTTGCAAAAAATAGCAGCAGTGTCTAGAGCAAATCAAATGATGCCCAGTCATGGCATGTGTGCAATGACCTAATCACACAAACATCATAATTGCATACATGAGAAAGGATACATGGATACAAGTAGGTAAGGTGTACAAAACAATTATATTTGTGCATACTGTCTATAATCTCTTACTTGGCTTCAAGCACAAATACCCTGTTTCTCCAGAAAATAAGACCTAATGAAAATAAGCCCTAGCATGGTTTTTCAGGATGCTCGTAATATAAGCCCTACCCCCAAAATAAGCCCCAGTTAAGTCAGCCAGACGGATGCATTTACTACCGTATTTCCCTGAAAATAAGACCTAACTGGAAAATAAGCCCTAATGCGTCTTTTGGAGTAAAAATTAATATAAGACCCGGTCTTATTTTGGGGGAAACACAGGTAATAAAGCAATAACATAAGTGGAGTCCAAAGCCAAAAGTTTCTGGAACAGGAAAGTCCTGAAAACACACCTAAGATGAGAACTCAGCGAGCTTGTTGGCGCTTCTGGAAAAACAACTGTTAATTTTGTTGCTACCAGCAAGAAGAAATTGCCTTGCGTGATCATTATGCAAATTTCCACCAAATTGCAATAGAAAGCAAGATCTCTGAAGCTTATCTTAACTCCAGGTGGATTCTTATGGGCAAAAGATGATCCTTAAGATACAAACATCTCGGGTAGTCCTTTGTTTACAAGCACAATTGAGTCCAAAATTTCCGTTGCTAAGCAAGACAGTTGCTAAGTGAGTTTTGCTCCATTTTACTACCCTTCTTGCCACAGTTATTAAATGAATCACTGCAGTTATTAAGTTAGTAACGTGGTTATTAAGTGAATCTGGCTTCCCTGTTGACTTTGTTTGCTAGATGGTTTGCAAAAGATGGCCACATGACTCTAGGACACTGCAACAGTCATAAATTCATGCCAGTTGCCAAGTGTTTAAATTTTGATCACATGACCATGGGCATGCTGCAACAGTCATAGGTGTGAAAAGCAGTTATAAGTCACTTTTTTTCAGTGCCATTGTAACTTTGAACAGTCCCTGTTCAGGACCACCTGAATATGCTATTGGACCCAGAAGCCAATATTGTGAACTATTATTTCTCTAAACTATTTTCTTGCCCTTCTAGCATTTAGTTTAGTTTTAAAAGTATATACAGTAGTGGCCAAAATTGTGGGAACCTTTTGGGAAAAGTGTACAGTAGAAATGCTACCTTTGGTTAAGTTTCCACCAATTTTCTTCTAATTTCTTTATAACTGTAGCCTTGTTCACTTAATAATACTATTTTATGTCACTTTCTGGGCAACCAGTCAACTCTTTGCACCATTATTTTATTTTTATTACGTTTTACAAGCACTAAATGAAAGAACACAAAAAAACCCAACCAACTTGATAGCGATCACATAACACACTAACAAATGTCCTCCTCTCAGCTTCAATACATGACATCAATAACTGATTCCTACTGTGATCTGATTGGCTCATTGCCAAAACAAGATGAGACCTGATTGGCTCTCTAAACACTCATGCTCATTGGCTACAATCATATGATATCAACCTAAGCAAGTTGTGCTTCCTTTTTCTGGTTATTTGACTATAACTTTTCATAGAATATAGTACAGATAATTGAACAAACTTTGTTGCATTACATCAGGGGTAGTCAACCTTGGCTCTTTTATGACTCGTGGACTTCAATTCCCAGAATTCCTGAGCCAGCTTAGCTGGCTCAGGAATTCTGGGAGTTGAAGTCCACGAGTCATAAAAGAGCCAAGGTTGACTACCCCTGCATTACATTCTTGATTAAATTATCTTTCCATTGATATATAATTTTATGATACTACTCCCACCCCCAAAAGTGGTGTTATTAGCCATCAAAACTCAAAAATACACTTTTCCCAAAAGGTTTCCACAATTTTGGCCACTACTGTAAGTAATGCAGTATCTTACGAAATATTAACAGTGGAAGATATTTACCTCAGCAACAAGATTTGAACAGGACATCCACAATAGTATGTTGTATTAAAAATAACAAAAATGCAGCGGTACCTTAAAGGCTAATCAATTTATTGCTTTTTATGATGAAATGGACTGTAGTAAACATAGTGAATAAATAAACTTTCTGGTTTATAGTTCCATAAGATTAGGATTTTTTAAAAAAATTGTTAAAGAGAACTCAAATGGGAAGACAAACTAATGTAAGTGTGGGGGGGGGGGAGAGGAATAATTTTTCTGAACACCAGGAGAATTATTTAGAAAAAGAACTTCATTGTGAATAATATACCGGAATATTTGAAAATAGCACTGATTATGTTATAATGGCCTTATATTCTCCCACAAGCAGCAGCTTGCAAAGTAGTTTTCTTTCTCTGTCCTTTCCTCAATTTTTTTTATTAATATACTTCATATTTTTGAAGTTCTTCATTCTAAACCTGATGGCCTCAGGCAAGAAATTGCAGCTGTGCATGTAAAACAAATTCCCAACCAACATTAAGATGTTTTGGTGTTCATTAACATTTCAATTCAGATCCTTTTTTCTAGTTAAAAGAAAATTTGTAGACCGCCCACTGCAAGGAATTATTGCATTTAATTTTGCTTAATTTTGTCCAAAGGAAAATAGAAATAAAAAGGAGGGGTTTTTTTTCTGCAAAAAGAAATATGCTTTGACTGCTGTTGATTCTTTTCACCCCTTCTCAAAACATAACAGATGTAACCTGCAGTCTTTGAAAGTAAGAAAATACGTATGTGCACATAGGCACAACCCCCCCGCACACTGTCTTTTGCATTCAATAAAATGCTCTAATTTCCTAAAGTGGGAGATTATGTTTGTCTCACAGGGGACCTTGAAATTTAATTTGAACAATTATTTCAAATTGGGTTGTACAGAAGCAAGATAGACTAAATTCAGCTTTCAGAGATTGCCTCCCTCCCCATTGTATATTTTTCTCAAAAGAGAAAAAGAGACCCTTTTGTGAGCTTCACATGGAGATCTCCAGAACTTCATTTGGGGCCATCACAGACCATTCCATTGTTCTGAAGACTGACATGCCCTCACAAAAACGGGGAAAGATGCTTTTTGTTTTCTACAGTAAGCTGGTCAAGATATAGTATGCCATCCTATTGGACAAAGCAAATAATAGATTTTGGAAGGCAACAACATATGCAGCCAATTCATATCTATAAATCAGGGGTCTCCAAACATGGGCAACTTTAAGATTTGTAGACTTCATCTCTCAGAATTCCCCAGCCATCACTACCTGGAGAATTCTGGGAGTTGAAGTCCACAAGTCTTAAAAGTTGCCAAGTTTGGAGACTCCTGATCTATAAAACTGGCTGTCAAGATTCTCCTGAACTGTATTACAAGTGCTGGTTTTAAACTCCAGTCTCCACCCCCGCCTGCCGGGATTTCAGTTCTACTAACATCAAACTTCATAGTCACATTTAAGAATCTTATTCTCAGTGATTGGCTTTAAAAATGTTTGATGTGTTTATTTCAATGGTAGTGTTGTTCCAAAGTCAGATAATTTCCTATTGATTTCTAGATAGTAGGATGGAAGCTAAACAGCACAGTGAAAGAGAAATACATTTTAAAATAAAGTTATCATGTATGATGGACATGTGTTAAACCAAAGAGGTACTGGACAAAAATACATACTTGGCTAGAAAAGATGTTGGGAAAGCATGTCGATTTTAAACCTGAACTTTTTTTTTACTACTGTAGGTATAATGCCAGAAAAGATTGATAAACAAAGTATATACTTGATTTTACATGTGATAACAGCGGCAAGAATCACATTCGCACAATATTGGAAAAATGAAGAAATACCACCAGAGGAAGAAATAATTAAAAAATTACTAGAATGTGCGGAAATGGACAGACTTACTATGAGGTTGAAAGAAAAAGAAGAAACAGAATACTTTCAAACTTGGAACTTATTTTATCCATGGCTGGGGAAAAGAATAAGGGACCAGGAATTAAATTTGTATTAGTGAATGATAAACTCAGACAACACGTTTGTTGAATAAATACTACTGAATTGAATGGAAAAAAATTAATAAAAACTTTACAAAAAAAGAGAAAGAAAGTTCATTTTCCTGGGTTAATTCAGATTTTCTTTAGAAGTTAAAGAATATGTAATGCATTTTGTTCATCCTAATACATTGAAAGCAGTAGCAGTAAACCCTGAGTCATTCAAGGTAGTGCCCTCTTCATCACAATGCCCAACTTGTTCATCTCTCTCTAACATTTGGCCATCCAGCTAGGACCTCTTTTGTCCTAAAAGTGAGAGTAGTCAGAGAAAGCAAAGCCTTTACCTCACCTGTCCCTGAGCTCAAAGCGTGCAGTTCCTTGTAGGGTAGGCATAGGCAGTTTATGGCTTTCATATCATATGCAGCTCCATAGCCCAATTTTAACATTTTAGAACTCCTCAGGACTGTCCTATCCAAATACAGCTGCAGAACGCTGAATAATAGTGTCACAATTGCTATCCATTTTCTATAGAACAAATGTCCCATTGCAATAACTTTGAAGCATATTTCCCCAAAAGAAACTTGAGGACTGGTAGCATGTGTTGAAAGTCCAGCTCTGGCTTCTCAAGTGATATCATGACATCCCTAAACATTCTCTCTAGTCTCCTGTCAATAGAGAAAATAATACTATCATCATTACTGTCATCATTATATTCCCTGTCTTCAAAAAGATTATTGTTTCTGACACAAGCTTTTTTAAATACCTACAAGGCAATTTCTCAATTGGACTGATTATCCTGAAAAATCCTATTCTGTTATTTGCTTGCCTCCTCTTTGCCATTCTGAATAGATTGTTCTAATGCGCTCCATTTGGAGTTTCCCTTAAAGAGTAACCAAAAGCTTCAGATGGCGAAGACTGGGATGGTGCGGGCAGTTATAATAATAATAATAATAATAATAATAATAATAATAATAATAATAATAATAATAATAATAATAATAATAATAATAATAATAATAATAATAATAATAATAAAGTTGGAAGGGACCGTGGAGGTCATCTAGTCCAACCCCCTGCTCAGGCAGGTAACCCTATACCATTTCAGACAAATGGCTGTCCAGTCTCTTCTTAAAAACTTCCAGTGTTGGAGCATTCACCACTTCTGGAGGCAGGTTGTTCCACTGGTTAATTGTTCTAACTGTCTAATTTATGTGTGCCCTTAGTATGTCACTCATTATACCTCTTCTCCACAAGCTGCATTGGCTGCCAGTTTGCTTCTGGGTCCAATTCAAGGTGTTGGGTTTGACCTTTAAAGCCCTTCATGACACGAAGCCTGGTTATTTGAGGAATTGCCTCTTCTCAATTACATCTACCTGTTTCATCAGATCTGGCAGAAGAAGTATGTTGTGGGTCCTGTCTATTAAGGAGTTATATCTGGCAGGACCCAGGAGGCAGGCCTTCTCTGCCATTCTTCTGAATTCATCAAAATTTGGCTGGGTCGATAGGCCTAATGAGTCTTCCCTTGCCTTTTAAAAAATAATGGCATCAATTTTAATGGTATTTTTGTTTTAATATTATGGCTTTATTGCATGTTACCCAGAGCTACATTCTGTGAAATAAGTGGCCACATAAATTTTGCCCGGTGCTTTTAACTACTACAATAAATTGGCTGTCTTTAGACTTCTTTAGTTCTTTAACTTACTTGTTGTCACTGATCTTATTATAAGCAGTCCTATTAACAGTTTTTGCTTTGGTCGTATTTAAATGATTTGCTCTTGATAACATGATCCATTCTGCAGAGCATAATCTCACATGAAAACCCAAACACCACATCTAAAAATAAAATGGATCAGATCTCATGAGATTATGGTATCAGACTTAAACGTTCTCACACGAGAGTCCAAATGTCTCATGAGAGGTTGATATATTTTAAAAGTTTGTCCGGGGAAGGTGTAACTTTGTTCCTTTTTATGAATTCTCTAGTATACACTATAGTATGCTAGTTTTGAGCAACCTCCTCTTCCAAGGATTTGGGAGACTTCTGAATCCTCTGCCTCTTTCATTTTATTTATTTTGCAAACTGTCATTTTTTTTAAGTAGCAAACTCAGGTTTTGCCTATATTGGAAATTCCAAGTCAAAGTTCCAAATAATTTGGCTTAGTAAGGAAGTTATAAATAGTGTTGGGAATTACTTAGAACTGAATGCCAGATCGATCAATATTTCTCTTCCGGTTAGTATATCTTTATATTTACAACGTTTGTGTGGCTCCCCAACTCAACCAAAGCGACTCTGGGCAGCTTACAAAGCACTTGATAGAAGCTAACAAAAGGAATACAAAACCACAGAACATAATCTGATAAACATAAATAAAACAAAAAACTAAACAGCCTTTCTAAACGCTAGTAGGGTCAAAATCAACTGCTTGTCAGAGAAAGATAACTCCATTAGAAAGGGGCACCACTGAGACGGTGGGCCTCCTGGAACTCACAAGATGGCATAGTTTTGGTGAAGGGACCAAGAGTGCACCGTTCCTGTTGGAGCATGTGGGCCAAGGAGATACCCTGGGGAGAAGGCAGTCCTGCAAATAGCCTGATCGTAGGCCATGTAGGGCTTGGTGGTGCTGCCACAATTAGTATGCAGTATTGCAGGCAAATTCTGCCCACAGCCCGGAGTGGCGTTTGATCCTGATGGGGTTCAAGGTTGACTCAGCCTTCCATCCTTCTGAGGTTGGTAAAATGAGGGCCCAGATTGTTGGGGCCAATATGCTGACATTTGTTCACTTCCCAGAGAGTGCTGTAAAGCACCATGGAGTGGTATATAAGTCTGTTATTGCTATTGCTTTAAAGCTGATAGCCAACACTTTGAACTGCACTGGGAAAGCCAACTGGGAGTGGTGAAACATGAACATAATTATTCATGCTGCTGCATTCTGGACCACTTGCAGCTTCTGTTCTCTTCAAGGGCAACCTTCTGTAGAATGCATTGCAATAATCCAATTGGGAAATGACTAAGGCATGAGTGACTATCAGCAGGACTGCCAAAACCTGAAAGGGTATAATTGGCACACAACACAAGCTGTGTAAAGGCCCTTGTGGCCATAATTGTCACCTGCTCCTTAAGCAGGAGTTGTGAGTCCACAAGATCCCCTAAACCAGTGGTGGCGAACCTATGGCACGCGTGCCAGAGGCGGCACTCAGAGCCCTCTCTGTGGGCACGTGTGCCATGCCCCGGAGATGATGAGGGACTGGCCCCCGCCACCCTGGCCCCGCCCACCCAGTCTGCCATGACCACTGAGGCCACGCCCACCCAGCACCCGTTGATAAATAACTGGGTTTTGGGTTGCAGTTTGGGCACTGGGTCTCTAAAAGGTTCCCCATCACTGCCCTAAACTGTACACTATATCCAAGTAGGGCAGTGCTATCCCACTGGATGTATCTCTTCAAAGATGTAAATCTTCAAATTCTTAATTCTGATGGTAAGAGGTGTTTTCAATCATACTGTAGATAAATAATAAGAATCAAAATGTATGGAGCATAGATTATTTCACCTGTTTATATATTTTAATGTTTGCAAAAATTGCTATGGGGCAGAGACTTTTTTGGTGAAAGTTTCTTTCATGGAAAAAGCAAAGGGATAGTTAGACATGAAGTCAGAAGTGAAAAGAAGAAAGATGGGATCCATTCTGTAATTTCTGTTTAGATTTTTTCACAATGTGCTAATAGCCACTGGGACAATGACCCCCAAATGAGAATCCACCCAAAAGATCCATGAAATATGATTATTCCATATTCCACAAATGCTATTTTCCAGATCCCTGCTCTGCATCAAACTTTGAAACAATGTGGTAACCTAAAGATATCTGTTTAGAAAGCATTGCTGATGTTTGACATTTTCTACAATTGATATCTCTCTGTTTTGCCATGGAACACTTTACTCACAAACATTTTGTCCTTGCTAAATAGGGAGAAATTGCTCTGGCAGAAATAGAATCAGGAAAGCAGAAAGGAAGACAAAATTAGGAAGCCAAGAAGGATATCAATTATAAACCAAGGTCTGTTAAATCAAAGCTTTATGGTAACATCTTGCACACTTGAAATATTTTCACTTATTGGCATGGGCCCCTTCCCTTTTTTATCCTTCAGTCCAAGGGCTGAAGGTTTTCATTTTTGAAGTATACTTTGATTTCTTTGCAAACATCAATGTGTATTTTCTTGGTTGGCCCTAAACACAGAGATCTATCACTCATGTCCTGCTGTAAACTTCCCAGGGACATCCTGTTGACCACGGTGGGATCCAAGATGGATCACAGGTCTGTTCCAGCATTATTTTCTCTCTGAAAATACTGGGGGATCAGGGGGAGGAGGAATACAAGATTATATGTACTGACCAGGGCATAGTGATGTAATCAAATAACTCTTATTAATGACAGTTTTATAGCATTCTTTATATTTCTTACTGGCTTGATAAATCTTTCTAATAGTGGGACACCTTTATTTATTTCCTACCATTAAGACTTGATTTTGTACCTGTAGAAAGGTAGGGCAGATGTGTCATTGCTACATGATATAATGGTTTTATTTCTCACAGTCCTTCTGTGCAATGAGTTGAGGTGTAATCATTAGATATGCAAATGCATGTGCTCAAACTGACTCACGAGTAACCTTTCTTAAAAAAAAAAAGATTTTATTCATGCTTGCTTCGCCTTGGGAAGAGTTGCAAGAATCTGCAAGCAGTCAAAACTGGCCAAATCAATCCAGGACATTATCATGTTCTATGCAGAAAAAAAATCTGAGGAATTCTCCAAGGG